GGGGTGGGATGGGATGGGATGGGATGGGATGGGATGGGATGGGATGGGAAGGGAAGAAAAGCCACGCAGCATCATGGTGGCCTGCGCAGAGGATGCTGAGGGACCCTCAACGTGGCCACCCCTTGGGGATGGGGTTTATTGGGGCTTTCCCCCCCCAAGGCTCGTGCAGGTGCTAAGGGCCAGGACACCTCCAGATCCATCCCTCCTTGTCCCAGACACCAATCCCCCCCAAACCTTCTGGGTCTTTGGTAACAACAACCATGACCATGAGCACTGAAGAACCCAAGCCCTCGTTCCTTCGGGCTGATGTTTTGCTCATTTTAAAATCAGTTAATAGAAGCATTTTTTAAAAAAAAAAAATGCAACAAATCATTTTTTAAAAGATACTTTACCCTTTTTTTTTTCCAAAATGTGGGTTGTTAGCCCGCGTCTCCCCCTCACCAAGAGGTGTTTCCCCTTTCCTGTTAAAGCCCGTTTTATTTTTGTGAAAGAAAATTTAAGATTTCTAAAGCCGGTTTCATTTTTTTGTGTGTAAAACGCTTCCTCTGATGCAGTCAACGAAGCCGTCCACGCCCCTCTTTTTAATGGCATTTTTATTTTTTTTAAGCACATTCAGATCTTTTTTTAAGGCTGCGGTCGCTCCTCGGAGCGGGGAATACGCTCCTGGTGTACCTAAAAATGGAGGATTATATAGAAAAAGGAGGGCTGAGCCCTGCTGCCGCGTCGCGTTTGGCTTCTCTGGCGTGTCATAAAGCGTTGAGCACTCAGTGAAACGCCGCCGTTGAGTCCTTCGGAATACCGTGGGAACGTGGAGTATTTTGGGTTGCCTGCTTGCTGCAGCCTCACTTACAGGGTCCTTCCCCCCCCCCGGCTTTTCTTTGCCATAATGAGGAAAAAGCCCCCGTTCTCCTCTGCCCAGTTCAAATGAAACTGGCCGAGCACCAGCGCCGATGGAGGACGCCAGGGTGGGGACGCGGCCGCGCCGCCTCAGGCTTACGACAGCACCATTTCCTTAGGAAACACCAAGATTGAACCCTGGAAAAATTCCCCCTCCTGGACTTTATTGGGATTGTCTGGAAACCCTGATGCCCCTCTGTCATCCCCCCAGCACCTCTGCGTTGCCCCCAAAAGAGCCTGAAACCCCTCCACCCCCCCACCCCAAGATGCCCCCAAACGCTCCCTCCCTTGCGGGGAAGAGGGAAGGGCTGTGAGCGACTTCTCCAGCCTTATTTTCCAACCATTTCAAAGAAATTCCAACAGAGTGGGGGTGATTTTGGGACACATCCATGGACTATGAGTGAGCGGAGGGCGTCGTGAGCCTCGGGGTTCCTTGAGGGGTTCAGCACCCCCCCCCCCAAAATCCACTCTGCGTGCCAGGCAGCCCTTCAACCTGCAGTGTTGTGGTGGTGCAAGACCTTCAGAGCAGGATAAAACCCATGAGCCGTGTTGGGCTCCGGGCTCCGTCCATGCCCAAACCCTCGGTCACTGCGTTTCCACATCCCCGGGGTGGGGGGGGGAAGGAAGCAGCAAGGACCAGGCCAGTGAGGGACGGCTGGAGCTCTCCCCATCATCCCGAGAGGAATCGTCCTGCCAGGTCCATTGGCTTCCCTGCAGGCTCGGGATGCTCTACCAGAGTAGATCACTTGACCATTTCTTACCTGCGAGTCAAAAATAAATTACGCCCTGAAGAGTTTCATACACAGCATCCAACCAAGTTCGGTCCAAGCAAAAACCACCTGGGTCCTGGTTTGAGTCCATCTGTCCCAGCCCTGGGGTTTGGAGGTGGTCAGAGCAGCCCCGGGCAAGGGGGCTGGTGGGGTGGGACAGGGCTTGTGCTCTCCTGCTCGCCAGGGAGGCCGCTGCCGGTTTTGGGGTGCTGGAGGAGGGCGGGGCGGCTGGGTCTGGGTGCCCGGGCGCTGGCGAGCTGCTGCTGCTCCTTTCCGTGGAGGCGGAGGCGTTAAGACCTAAGGGCAGACAGGCAGGGGGACCCCGGGGCCCC